TTATTAATTACTAATAAAATAATAGAAATAAGAAGTAATAATATTTAATTAAATAGAAAGCCTGGCCTAAAGATTATAATACCTAGTTACTTACTTTCCCTAATCTTGAAAATTCTAAGAAACTTCTAAAATTATATAACTAAAACCATAGTTTAGAATCCGAAACTATTTTTTAATAATTTCTTAAGATTAAAAAGAATTCTAGACTACTAAGAAAAAGGCTACTTAAAAGAAAGAGAGGACCTAGATAGCCAAGAAAAGGCCCGGAATAATAATAGAGATACTCTTTCTTTAGGTTTTTTACCTATAAAGGTTTTTTAGGGTTTTATTAAAGCTTATAAGAATTATATTTAAATTATTAGAAAAAGGTTTAGGATTAAGAAAGATTTATTATAGGTAAACTAGCTATAGGTATCTTAAATAAATAAACTCTAATTCCTATAAATTCCTAATTTCCTAAAGCAAGAATACTAAATACTGGCCCTATTTAGGACTTAGTAAAGAATTAGCTAATATTCTCCGGAATCCGCTTATCTCTTAATAGGATATAGTTATACTATAATAATATTAGTATTAAGGATATTAAGAGAAATAAATAAGGAACTTATAATAGCTATATATATCTTATAAAAGGCCCGAACTTCTAAAGTCAGGTCCCGAATAGCTATAAGTATTATATTATTAGTATTTAAAGTACTAGTAGTAAACTATTTAGTAATCTCGGTAGTAAGCTTAGTAATAAGATTAATACCTTAAAAGTAGATATTATAATATTTCTTTAAGGAATTAGTAAGTACCTAAATATATTAGAAAAAACTTACCTTTAGGATACTAATCCAAGTAGTATTATTATCTATCTTATTAAAACGGGAAAAAGAATTCCGAAGCTTATTAGTATCCTTCTAGTTTTTAAAAACCCAATTAATAGTATTATTCTTATTAGTATAATACTATTTAGGATATACTTTAAGAAATTTCTTAAAGATTATAATAATATCTTTCCAGAACTAGTAAGCCTCTAATAAGTAGTAAGGAATCTGAAATCATATTAGCTTTAATAGATATTAAAGCTAAAGAACTTACTAATATATAAGACTTAGAACCCTTATTATAACGGTTATAATTCTTCTTACCAGGTATTATAATATATAAGATAAAGAGATTAATAAGTAAATACTTAAAATATTTCAAGTATTTACTAGTAATAGGAAAGAAGGCTATAAGATTATCTTTATATTTATTATTATAGGAATAAATAATAAAGCCAGAAGAAAATATTATAGAATTAATTAAAAATAATTAAAGAAGACTTAGAAAAGAATAGAAAAAGAGACTAGAAAATAATAATAGAAAAAGTTATATATATAATTATTAGAAAGGAAGAAAGTATATAGTAATATAAAGAGGTTCTTTTATAAAGGTAAAGAACTACCTGAATTAACTACTAGTTTTTATACTAGTTCTAATCGGAAACTAGTATAACTAATTAATATATGCTTCTAGAAGCCTGCAAATAATCTCTAGGACCTTAGAAATATTCATATAGGTTTCTTATACGAATATTTATTAAATACTTTCTATATAGCTATTTAGATTATTCTAATACGAGATCTAATAGGTAATATTAGTTTTATAAGATAGTACCTTAGTACTTTGAATCGAGCTAATTAGAATACTCAGATCCCAAACGAAATTATAATTACCGGCTAGCCCCTATACCTGGGGTATAATTACCCTTCCTTCTTGCTTACTTAGCCCTAATCTAATTAGATAATTTTTATATCTATTATTCAGATTATATTAGTAAAACTACCTCCCAAGATACTAGAAGTTTATATTAATTAAATAAATAATTAATTAAATATTTACTAGAATAAATTAATAGATCTAGGGAACAAGATCCTAGGAGGAGGGTATAGTTATAATATATACAGGGTCACACATAACTTAAGGATATATAATAAACCTCGGATATTGCAGGTATTAATTAGAGAGTTCGGTAGCCCTTTAATATCCCAACTAACTACTATTTATATTATATGTATTAGGCTTATAAATTACTAATTATATATATACTATTAGGGCCTCCTATTTAGAGGGGGCTTCTCTGGACCTTATAGGAGGAATAGAGATTAGTTCTATACTGAATTTAATACTATAGTTTTATAATATACTAATTTATTCTATTGTCTTATTACCTACTAATAAACACCTCATATAAAGCTAAAATAAAATATTTAAATAAAATAATATTAAAAAATCGAGTTATTTTTTTCTATTTTATTTCTTAGCTTAATATTTTTAATATATAAAATTCTTTGAGTTTTAAGCCTTTTATTATTATATTAATTTTACTATTATATCTTTTTTTAATTAATAAACTAGTATTTTAAACTTATTTTTTATTTATTTATAATAAAACCAAACTATATACTTCTTAAATAATAATAATTTGTATTATATTTATAAAACTATATTTTATTAATAAAGCCTTAAAAATTTTATAAATAGAGCTTTTTTTTTAAGTTCTAAAATAGAATTTATAAAAATTCAAGTATTAATAGTTTAATAAAGCTATTATCTAGTTATATAATAATATATTAGCTTATTTATTTAGTTTAGTTTCTTAATCTTATAGTTTTATAAAAGTAGTAATAATAATTTCTAATATTTCCGAATATTATAATTTATAGTTAATTTAATTCAAAAGTAATAAAATAGTTATTATTTTATATTTATAATAACTTTTTAGTTATAACTTCGAGTAATTAATATTAAATAATATAATTATAGAATAGAACCAAGTAAAAAATATTTATTAATTATATTTTTAATGTGATTTGTAATTAATTAATAATCGAGTTTTAAAATATATAAATATTTCTTACTTTTTTAATTTCTAATTATATAAAATACTAAAATATTTTATAAAAGTTATATATATTTAAATAAATAATAAATTAAATTTAGATTTATAAGAGCTTATAAGGCTTCTTAAGCTTCTATAAACTTAATATATCTAATAAAAGCTTAAATTTTAAAATTATTATTAAAGAAAATATAAAATATAAAGAGTTTATAATTTAATTATATAGAGCCTTATATATTATATAAAATATAATTTTTTATTCTTATAAAATACTAAAATTTCTATATAAGCTTATATAAAAATAGTTATATATTTTATAATTTCTATAATATTAAAGGTACTAAAAACTAGAAACTAAAGAAATAATTACTATAAGATATATAATAGTTTCAATTAATATAATTTATATTAATTAGTATTTTAGTAAAAAAAAATTTATTACTTTTAAATCGAATTAATAATATAAAAATTCTGGGTTTAATTCTTTCTTAGCTATAAATTAAGTATTTTTATTTTAATTCTTTATTTTAATCTAATATCTAAAATAATAATTCTCTATTTTCTTTAATATAAGCTTATTAATTATAGAAAAAGGCCTGAAAAGTATTACTATATTCGTTTTAATTACTTTATTATTAAATTAATTAATTTTATTCCAAATACTCTTATTACTAGCTATTTTATAAAAAGTATTAAACTAGTTCGCCCATGAATTATAATTCTTTAGGATAATAATCTTAATTATAGCTTCTAATATAATTGTAATTAAGCTTATAGAAATAGTTTTTATTAATTAGTTAATAATAGATTCATGAAACCGAATTTCTGGACTTGAAAAGTAAAGTAAAATAGCTCTTAATTCGAGAGTTCTAAACTAAGGAAAGAAGCTCTTAAATATAAGAGCTTTAGTATTCTAATACTAGTCTAGCCACATGTATTATTATAGTTATATAATACTAAATTTACTAATAAAATAATAGAGTATAATAATAGAAATATAAATAAAAGTATAATTTTTAAAGATATTAATTAAATAAACTTTTAAATACTCTTTGCGGTATACTAATTAGGAAGCTTATTAGTATAAGGCCGGGCTTATAACTAATATATATAAAGATTATAAAATAAGAAGTTATATTAAATAGTAAAAGAATTAATTAAACTAGCTAAAAAAGAGCTTAAATAAAATATAAAGCTTTAGAATATAAATATATAGATCTTGACTAAATAGAGTAATTATACTAGCCTCAAATTAGTAATTCTTACTATAATAAAAAGAATAAAAAGAAGAAAGAAAAGAAAGAAATAAGTTAGGAAATGAATTATTTTATTAAATTCGGAAATATATAAAAAGGGTCTTTAAATAAGATTTTAAAGATTTTAATACTAGAGATGTGAGTTTTTTCTTTACTTCTTTTCTTCTTTATTTGAAATATAATTTAAATATTAGGGAATTAAAGTAATAATATATTATACAGAATAATTAATAATATAATAGAAATTATTATTATAAATTTAGTTTCTCGGCTATATTAAGGGCTATTAGTATTTTATTAGAATTATACTTTCTTGAAAGAAAAAAATAATATCTTCTTATCTTTTTCTTTTATATATATAAAATTAATTAATATTAATATATATTCAAAATTTATTTCTATTTCATGTCTGGACTTCTTGCCATACTATAAGCGAGGCTATAGCAAAGCTCGTAAATAATACTTGAAATAATACGTGAATGCTTTTAGTAGTACGGCGCCTTAATTACTTTTATATAACTCTTTAGAAGCCGTGAGATCTTGTCTACTTCGTATATATATACTTGCCAGGTTAGCCGTTTAGTACAGCTGAATTTATTCAAATGCCGCGCTGTGCAGAAAATCGGATTTTTTCAATGTAAGATTATTAGTGTTAAGCTATAAATGCAATCTGGCCAATGCTAGAGGTTTTACTAAAGGGCCCTTTCCCTCTTAATATGTGAGATTGCTATAAACGTAATTGTACACTTACACCAGTCACAAATATCGCAATAAAACTCGAGCCGCGCAAAACTAAAACAAAAGGCATCACTACCAATTCTTCACTTTATCGTATGACGTAGATAGAACCGCGCAAAGACGATCAAAAAGCTTCACTACCAATTCGTCACTTTATTGAATGACTTCGATGGGACCTCTCTACCGCTGGACTCGTCTCTCCCCTGTACTCCCGTGCCAGCACGGACTGTGTTGCTACTTAGATCGAAACACGCAGCGGTGATAGTCGTCGAGCAGACTGGCCACAGCTCATGCTTACACATATCGCAATACAAGTTTTCTTTAGTCGACACGAAGTCAGGCCCAATCGAAGCAGCGCTCTGGCAGAGTTCAGTGGCTGTATGCTGATCAAGGCTGCTGATGACGACGTGATTATCTGCGCAAGCCTGAGTTTGGAGATTGTTTTGCCTCGTCTTGACATGTCTTTTCTTTGGTGCCTCGGATCGCTTCACGCCGTAAGTTGGCACACTGATCTTCCCCCCCGTCCATTGCTCTAGCTGGCGCACCTGTTCAATATTTGGCATTACTTTTCCATCGGCGTGAGGATCACACATAAAGCTCCCAGTAGTCTTAAGTGCGTTGAAGTCTGGATCAACAGAGTTTGAGCCGTAAATGAGTGGCGGATTAAAGACCGGCAAGCAATTCATCTCAGTGACAGAGTCGTAGGCCTTGTAACGTGGATCGCTCTTGCACATAGTGTCGAGAGACGTGTTATACTGTGTTGCTCGGTCTTGTGATGGCGTAAAGTCGGTGATGTGGATGCCATATCCCTGAGGGAAAGGATGCGGTTTCTTGCCTGTTCTGAGATCCGGAGATGTGAGCCAGAAGCAGGCTGGGTAGTAAGATCCTTGCTGCACCTGGACTTCAAGATTGGAGTGGTACCACCAAGCACCACACTTCTTTGGAATGTCACCATAAAATGCCCAGTATTCAGAGCTTGGTGGAGTGACAGCAAGGTACGCAACACACAAGGAGTCACTTCCGCCACCCACTATCGACAAATATTCCGGAGGTCGGTTGTTGTTATTATCAAGTGGATCGACCTTGATGTCCACGTATCTGCCGTCACTAATCTTCCCAGCGCGAGTGCCACTCTTGAAACCGATTCGCAAGCCGTCACCGTCAAAGAGACCAATGCCGCACGTATTGCCTCCTGTGCTAGCACCTGAATCTCCAGGCATACTCATACCTGCAGCCACCCGGACAATTGTTGAAGCTTTATATGGCGCTGGAAAGAAGTTCTGGGCTAGAGGTATCATCGAGATACCTAAAGCTCCTAAGCCGATTGCTTCTATGATGGCCGCCATTTTGATGAAGCGGATTCGGAGATAGGCTCGATTTAAAGAGCAAGTATGGAGAGGCTCAAGCGTAATGAGGTGTAGCTGATAAAGTCGTGTAGTGGATGTAGTATTGTAGAGATCCCCGAGTAGGAAGAGTGAAGATAACAGACGAGATGTAGTTATAAGATGAAGAGTAGCAGAAGTTAAATAGGGAGCTTCAACCCCCTTCATAGAGGAACTGAACATCGCCGTCGAAGCTATAAGCGTATCTAAATCTAGATGGTCTATAATTAAATATACTACTTCCTTAAAGTGCGGCGAAGTACAGATTAGCTGCTGCGCATTCTAACGAACCATGGATGTAAGCTGTCATTTGATACTTTTAAGATGAAAGGACTTCACAAAATTTCCCGCCAAGACATATAGAGAAATTGTCAAATCCTTCAAGGCGATGTGTGGTCTGTTGTTGGCAATTAAAAGTGTACGACACTCGCCGCTCGGTGGCTGCACTCCAGCTTGCAAGCCTCCCCGCGCGCCTTTCCAACGCTTACTTATGTTTCACTCTAGCTTGTAGGCCTCCCCGCGGGCCGAGCCGCCCAATACGAGGTCGGCTCAGCTACTAGGATCGACGGGTACAATGGGTTACACCGTGGGGTGCAGTTATTCGTCGCGGTTGCTGAAACCTCACCAAAAAGTCACCTATTAATCGAGTGATTTTTAAGCCCGAATCATTTCCTCTTTAGCTAAGCCTACAGCACAAATAATAATAGAAACCAAATTATAAGAAATTATCTGGGACTTAATTTCCCGATTTTTTTGAGAGTAGCAATTCCAGACTGAAGCCAGAACACGAATTATTCTGACGTTTCGCCTAACAAAATTTGGCGAAAAGCCGCCACGAATGACTGCACCCCTAGTGTTATTGTACCTGTCGATCCTGGTAGATGAGCCGACCTCGGGTTGGGTGGCGCAATGACTCGTTGGCCCTCCTCATCCTTTAGCAAACAGGCTCAGTTGCCTTCCCTGAGGAACCTTTCAACATGTATCAAAATGCGGTGACAAGTGGCCTATCTAGCAGACGGCATCAGACCTAGTCTGGACACGTTGTAATAAGCCCTTCAAGCGAAGGCGGCAGATTGGCGATGATGAAAAGTTGTGTAATTTTCGAACCTGGTAAATAATGGATCTTAAACGCGGATACACTCTTGGAATAGATGTTTCAGATCTAAAATTAGGACCATTGACCATAACTGTAAGGAAAAGGAGGATCTACTTACTGTGCTTCTAGGGACTGGATCAAATCCTGGATCAAATCCTGGGTTGAATCCTCGAGATACTTCGTGATTGACGAACTTGGAGGAAGGCTATGAGGATACGGCTTGGCAGGCGACCTCGACAATCTATAAGAAGGATGCCTCTGAGCGTGGGACTCAAGGTCATTATCCTCACATCCTCTTACAAGACACAGCAGCTACTTGCTCTTTGTATTCGTTTTCAACGCGTATCAAAACTTCGAATTCTTCAATCACCTCGCATGTGCCCTAGCGTCAACCAAACATCTCCTCGTCCCTATCAATTGACGACATTACAACAACACATCCAAGATGCGCTTCTCTAAAGTTCTCGGTGCTACAGCGCTCTTCCATGTCACATTGTCCGTAGCGGTACTGAACCAGGGACATTATTACAACCACGCAGCCCTAAGCAGACGTGTCGACCCCGTTATCCCCAAAGGTGGTAACCCTAACGGTGGCGGAAAAGGGGGAGACCCGAACAGTGGAAATCCCAACTCTGGAAAGCCAGCCGGTGCAAATCCACACGATGGAAATCCCAACTCTGGAAACGGTCCTGGTTCACCAAATTCACAAGACAGCGGACATTCTCACTCATCGGCGGCAAGCGAACACGTGACAGAGGTTATTCAATCAGCTCAGGCTGATGAGGATACGGGAATGAACCTCGTACTGACTGACGAGGAATACAAGACAAGAGGGGCAATTGCCCTACAGAAGAACAAGGACGCTATCAACGCAAAACCAAGGGTAGACAAGACGTACAGCGCATTACAAAATTCTTACATCGTGGACTTTGACCCACTCGCGCAGCCAGACTTCTTGCAAGACATAGAAACTATCATGAGCCACCCTGAAATCCGGCTGGATCCAACAGTTGGCTGGACTTATGTGGATGCCCGTTCGGAAGGCCAGAATGATCGTACAAAGCCTACCTTCGTCGGGTTTGTCGGTAATGACCAGAAAAACATCATAGCAACGTCCAGTATAAGAAAATTCGACACGAACACCGGTACTAACAAGCTTCCAAACTCCGAGATTATGTACCAGTCGCTGTTGTCGAAGGGCAACAAGCCCTCAAACCTGGAAAACGTCATCCGAACGCCAATCGCGAACAAAGGATCTCTGCAAATGATGACAAGATCAGTCCAGGCTAAATTTGGGGCCAACTCAGGATTAAAACAGCCATACTCTTTCACGTCGGCCGATAAGAACTTCGATGACCTGGTTGGTGATTACTGGACAGCAATGAACGGTCTCGGCAACCCTAGGCCTGTATCTTTTATGGCCGCCGACCATTCCGTGGCTCTGAACGGGTTGAAAATCACCGAAATTATTATATGGCCACAGCTTCCGTCGTCATCTGTGTTTGGCGCTATGATCGTTAGAATGGATCGTTAATAAGCAGAACGTTGCGATCACCTATTGCGCCGTCGTTGCGTCTCTTGTCATCACTTTCAATTTCGTCGCTGCTTCGTACCCTGCCTACAAGCTTCTGCTCGAGTGTCAATTTTCCAACAATTAGACTAGAATCCCCACTAAGCGAGTTCAAGACGGCTGAGACCATTAGCGTTGTCTTTGCTCTACACGAAAAATTTGTATGCTAAACACTGTTTCTAACGAGATCTGTGCTATCATTTCTAGAGAATCTGAAATTGCATTATTTCCACCCTTTAGCGCATTCTCATTATGTCTCTGTGATATAACCGTGAAAATTGATCTTAGAGTGACGCAAGTTTAGATAATGTCTGTATCCGATCTGTCTTCGCTCATATAAAAGCTGGCAAGTCTAGGCGGCTAGGCCTATAGAAAACAATACTCTCTACTAGCTTGCCCACCTTCATAGAGAACTGAGACTCGAGAGGCCCTTTATTCTCTAAATAAACTCCTTGAGCTAATACGCAATGGCGGCAGCGTCAGGCAGTTATAGATCGTTCCAAGTCATTCGAGAAAGCACGAAGTATAGCCATGAACTCCATTTTCCAGGGAAGTAGTGGGGCATTGGGATAATCAAATGCAAAGATGTGATTAGTAGCTGAGTCAAAGGCGATGATGATGCTCGCCTCAGCTAACCCGTGAAGATTTCGAAGAGCACTAAGATTGCCCTCCAAAGCTCGTCGAAGCCGATCCGGCTGGTGTTTATAAGCTACAAAGAACGGAGGCATAACACCTAATTCTATACGAAGTCGTAGCAGGTTGCCGGCCCCTATTGAACGAGGTGGAAAGCAAGTATGCAAGATTTGGTGGAGTGCGAGGTGTCGAGAAGGAGACTCGCATTTTATTCCTGGCATTGAAACTCTCTCAAGCCTGATGAAAAGATCCAGAAATTTGATCGCTTGGAACATCCATGGGAGTGCTTCATCGGGTGAAATCGTAAGGCCGAGGAGCCGCAACCGCTTGGTACAGATAGATGCCTTGTATGGCATAAGACTGTACCATTCAACTATAGCCTCCTCGTAAATGGTTCGGTTTGTTCGTAAAATGGAAGGACAGCAAGGTCCGCCATCGTCTCGAAAAGGAGACGTAGGAGTGTTTGGCGCGAGGTAATGGTATATTCGCAGGCGTATTTCCTTAGGAAGGCTCAGGAATCGGAAAGGCTCAGACATAGAGGCCCTATGCTCTTTATTCTCATCATTATCGTAAGCAATCGTGTGCGCTGCTGGACGATTTTCGCACGCAAGCCCGGTAGTGTAGGATTCGCTGGACATAGAGATGGCTGAGCAATTCTGAGGGTTCTGCGGAGACAAGCTATCAGCCAAACATCGGCTTGATTGGAAAGGAGAATGTTACCGTTAAGGGCATGTATCTCGTCTGCGAATGAAGCTGCTGAAATGTTTCATATGAAACGAGTGGAAGTAGGATCAGTGAGTTGGCAGAAAGATAGAAAGATCTTAAAGGGAGTTTTCGCACACTAATAATTTCAGGCTACATTCGTTCTATTAGTAATCAAAGGGCGTGACGCGCTAAAGATAAGATAGGCGAAAACACCAAAATCAATCGAAACGAGGCTAGAGTCGTTCAAGATGTTACCCGATTAATTATCCCTTGAGGGAGTACTCGAAGCCACACAAAGAGCCTCTACGATATGTTCAGATACAGGGAACATTCAGCTACACCGTGGCTGTGGGGACTACCAAAAATTTTCCAGTTTCGAGTCCATGATTCCAGCTTTGACATGCAGGCCATGAGTCTGGCCAAGGCAGTTCATCCGCAATTTGTGCCCAGATGCAAGTATTATGGAACTCTCGGTCAATCCCGACCTCTCCACATCTACAAGATGGAGAATCTTCCTGCGACAGCTTATATTATAGCGCGCAACATCTTCATTACACGACCCCCCCGACGCTGTGTCCCGGCAGCGCAACACCGTGGGAGACCTAGCGAGGTACGTTTATACCATATATTCATCGCTACGTTTCAAGCAAGAGCTGAGGATCCGTGCAGTTTCTTTCGCGCAGTCATGGAATAGCAGTCGACGATTAGATCCAGACAGCATGGCTACTCTGCTCGCGGAATTTCAGGCCAAGTTTGACGTTCTTGCTCGATTACTACCGTCTCGATTGCATCAAACCTACACCAGGTTCGCCAAACTTTGTCACTCTTCTGAGGGAAATTTCCTTTGCCCATGAGGACCTATGTGAGATGAATATCCTGATAAACTTTGAAACGGGAAATATAACGGGGATTGTCGAATTGACCGAGGCAAGGATTCTTCCATTCGGCTTTGCCTTGTGGGGGCTTGAGAATATTCCTGGCTACATGAATCTCTACGCGATGGCATTGCTATGACAACCGCCATAAACTCGAGGACCTTTTCTGGTGGGCTTTCGGACCAAGGCTCACAATGCGTCGGAAGGCTTTAGGTAGACTTGTATATTATAGGTATTCTCGTCATTGGCGTCTCAGCTCGCATGCGGGCAGCTGGCGCGAGAGGGCATGACTTCGAATATTAGCTCTATCCACCCATCCGAGCAGTTCAGGCAGACTGGCACATTCCAGGGGACTCTCGTTGTCTAGCGTCTCAGCCGCCAAACGTGCTGGCACACTCCAATCGGCAGATATTCAGTAGGCTTAAGCAGTGCTCTGAAAAAGCTTTGCAAGATCCTGTCGCCTTCAATCAGCTCAGCCCAGATGCGCGCATTTTAGACGAATATGAAACGTGTTGCAGCAAGCAGGAGAACCCACCAAGCTCCTCACGTCATCCACCAGCGGCGCAGCTAGGCAGAAGCCAGGCCGCGTCGTCATGAGTGCTGCAATGCATGCAAGCCAAGTCCCGCGGCATCTCAATATCCGAGGGGTTATGGTATGAGGATCCGTGGCAGTGCGACGGCGAGGCGGATCGAGAGCACTCAGAGCTGGCTCAGTTCGTATCTAAGCCTACGGGGGCCATTAGCGAGTTAATCGCGAGGTGTTCCTCCGTTTTCGCCTATTTCCCTGAAAATAGGCGAGGTACACCCAAAAGCAAATTTCAGCGAAACGCAAATATTTTTTAACTTCTTTCTAACCGCGCCTTCTGCTAAGAAATGTGAAGAAGAAAAAGTATTATCCAAGTAACAAAAATAAGATCTAGATACTCTTATTAAGTTTCGCTCACCAAAAATAATATTTTACGAGCAAGTTAAGAGAAAGATGCGATTTTGATTTTCGACGCACGGACCAAAAAGTTGATTTTGCCCGCGAGAAAATCAACTTGCACCTCGCCTATTTTTAGGGAAATAGGCGAAAACGGTGGAATACCTCGCGATTATTCGACAAAACCAGAAATCGAAAACTGATTTTTTGATTTTTGCGAATGCGACAGCTTAATTAATTAATATCTATGCAACCACGCATTATTTAATTAATTTATAAGTCAGGATAGGTTATTTAAATGCCAATTTATTATATCAGGTCCTAACCCCCCACACTGCCCTCCCCCCCGGGGATCGATTAGGGATGTTGATTAGAGCAGGAGTATTAACGACTTGTAATTGGCTACTTAAGCTCTTCAAAAGTGTTAAGTTAGATTTTTTAATATAAGTATATACTAGTATATTATAACTCTTATATTTCAGTTACATGCTTCTTAACTTATAATAAAAGGATTTCTTAAAATAGTATTTTAATTTAAAGAAGTTTATATACTAATTAATTAAGTTCTAGCTTTTGAGCCTTATAAGGGCCTATAAATTATAGGCTTATAAGGCTCCCACATCTGGTTTTGGGAACTTATTTACTAAATTTCTAGGCTTTAAAACATATGTTTTTTTAACTTCTTTAGTTTAAAGAATAATTACTAATCTAAATTTTATAAAAAGTTTATATTTAAATAGCCCTTAATTAGCGCTATAAGTATATAAAACAAATATTAAATTATACTAATTAGTTATGAAATTAAATCAAATCAAAGAAAAAACCAGAGTTTTCGTATTCTTGTCCGAGCGCCTCTGCTTTGGGTTAGTGGCTAGTCTGCTCCCAATCGACACCCCTAATCGATCCGGGGGGGCCGGGGTCATTTTTAGTTTTTCCCGAACAAATAGCAATGATTTTTTCGGCTTGAGCATAGCGGGAGATTGAATTTCTTGTTTATTAGTAAGCAGGGAAATTATTCCGACCTACTCAAGTATTCTTCAGACTAAAAAGTTCTGGATGTACTGTAGTAAAGACTTGTCCTGCGATTTAACACCACTACAGCAATCACCCAGCTACACTAGTCTTTTTAGGGCACTAAAGAATACTTATTTTAAATCCCTCTTTCCTGTTCATGCAGTGCATAAGCAATGAATATCATCGTCACTAACTTTAAGTTATTTGGAATTCGTCGCTGTTTACGTAAGATCCAGGAGATGATGTGGAAACATTTTCCAACATCCATTTTCATTCCCTGCCAGTGAGGAATCTACTTGTCTGATTCCTAGACAGTCATATAATGCCCCAGTGTCCGTCCAGGCTGAGTAATGGTCCTCACGGGTTAAATAAAACCCCACAGGTTTCCTTTGCAATCGCTTTACCACAATCCTTTCATCAACCAGCTTCCTTCAGTCCGTACAGTCGCGCGTGTAATACGACCTTCGTAACATAAGCTCTGTGGTTCAAACAAAATGGTTGCTCTGAGAAATTTCTTCTCGCATAAAACCGCCTCTCCCTTGACAGTATTCGCGTCCGGCGAAAGCAACCAGGACGCCCTCACAGTCATGGGCCGCGACGACGAACCCCTCACCATAATCGAGCTCTTCCAATCGCAAGGTTGCTCCTCTTGTCCACCCACAGAAACAAACCTGCAAACTCTCCTCCCACAAAACCCAAATCTCCTCCTCCTTACCTACGATGTCACATACTGGGACCATCTAGGCTGGACCGACACTTTTGGTAATACATTATGGGATCACCGCCAACGTGCTTATTCTTCAAAATGGGAACGGAGGAGCGTGTTTACGCCGCAGGTGGTTGTTGATGGTGTTGCAGATGGAGTCGGGAATAGGGAGAATGAGGTGTTGGAGATCGTTGCGAGGGCAAAGAGGGAGAGGTTTGGTTTGGGGACGAGGGTGGGGATTTTTGTAGAAGGAAGAGAGTTGGTGATTAGGGATGAGGCGGGGGAGGCGGGGATGTATGATGTGCTGCTTGTGATGTTTGATCCAAGGGAGCAGAGTGTTGAGATTAAGAGGGGGGAGAATAGGGGGAGGACGCTTGCGCATTGGAATTTGGTGAAGGAGATTATAAAGATTGGGGAGTGGAGGGGAGGGAATGCAAGAGTTGGTCTTCCGGAGAGCTTGGAAGATGGACTGGAAAGGGTTGTGATTTTGCAGGCTGGGGTTGGAGGGGTGATTTCTGCCGCGCATAGGGTTTGAAGAATGAATAATATAAGGCTGAATTATTAGTCCCGTGCTCTTTAACAAGAGGGATCCAAAACTAGCTCGGCATAAACCCTGCGAGACCAGAAACGGATGCCCAGGCAAAGTTCGGTAAGGAAACTATAGCTGGGGTATAAGAGCTCAAAATGGGCTTCACATTATGGTGCATAAGCTAACTCAAGGCGTGCTTAGGCTCTACTCAGGTGTGCTCAGGTACGCTCACCTTCAGCTTAGGTTAGAGTAGCAGCTTCTCGCGTCCGTAGACTAGAACGGAACCAGCAAAAGAAAATATTAATCCTGAGTATATGAGTACTCGGCCAGTCTCCAACTTTCGACATAATTTAGGTATATCTACGTCAATCTATCCTTCTAATTCTTCTTCTACTCCCCTGAAAATAAGCTCGCCATGATGCAGAAAAGACTGGGCAAGGAATCACCGCCATCCGTTCGAACGATATAAAGAGATCTCTACCAACAAAATCCAAGCATCAACAACCCGGTCATGTCCACTGGGACGATCTTGCCCCATTTTTCCAGAACAACGAATACATATACACCCACTAACGACCTCAGTCAAACTCTAAATCACATCCATCCACTCCCTCTCATACATACACAACCAAACTGTTAACCTCTACACACAACTCGTCTTTTTACCTGCCCCCATCTAGCTTACCATCTCTTCCATACTACCAATCCGCCAGCTTCTCTGGATGACGTTATCGTTTTTGGTGTGTTTTTCCTAGGCTTGAGGACCTCTCTAAGTTTAAGCTTGGTATTCCACACAATATGCAACCATTCAAAGTCTGCCCAAGGCTTCTGGTTGAATCTTGACTTCATTGGACTGCTTATAGCTTCCTCAGGCGTATTTATTCCTGCGGCGTGTTACTTTTTCTACTGTACGGCTGCAAACCTAAAACTGGGTTTACTCGCTCTGAGTTTCTCTATCTTTCTAGTTTGGATACAAGCTGATGCAGATAGTTAAATTTGTTAGTTCAGTCAGTCACCGCATGGGTCAAATTGTTCGCTCCCATTTTCCGCACTCCCCCTTGGTGTCCTTTCCGTGCTTTTGTGTTCGGGGTGATGGGCTCTCTTCCTTATGTGCCGCTTGTGGTGGGTCTCCTTACACGGGCTGGGTGAAATGGTTCTCCAAGGTAGGAAGTGTTATGCTCTTACTGCAGTGTTTTACCTGGCATGTGCGGGGTTTTAGGCGATATGTTTTCTGTTCGTTGGGGAAATGGGAACAGTGATTACTGATTTTCAACTCTAGTCTTGATGGCCTGAAAAATGGAAGCCTGGGAAGTTTGTTGTTTGGGACATTCGTATCAACTATTTCATGTTGGCATGTTGCGGGGTTTTTGGGTTGGTGTTGCATATCTATGGGTTACTGCAGGCGTACAGATATCAGAGCAGGTTGGACGGTGTTAATGGTTTTGGTCTACTTGTTGATTTTTTTTCAAGAACAGGCTAGGGCGTGAATAAAAAGCGAGACTATCCACTGCAACGGTCGATATCCTCCTTGCCACCCATGGACTTGATGGATGCATACACGGACATCATCAGCCAAGTCTTTCTTTCTTCTGCCCCGCACTTGGTTGGTTAAGGTTGTCGCTTTTGCAAACTGCCCTCAGCCCAGCAAGCCTATGTGAGAGCCCTGAGACGTCTCTCGAGGCCAGAGGCAAGCTGTAGAACCGTTCACCCCATTCTTCAAAACTTCCAAGTATTAGTTTTCCCGAAGGTTAAAACGGATGTCTCTCGAAACGGCAACTATTAGCGTGGTTAAATTAACGGAATAGATGGAAATTATGTCTCATGTTTGCCTCGTCTTAAATTTGTTTCCAATCCGCTGCCTTACTTTGTGTTCGTGATTCCGAGTTCCTTTGGACGCCACAATTGCGCCCCTGATTCCCTGCATGAGGAACACAGCACAAAAGTTTACAGCGTGATAGGCCCGCTAAACTTCGCTTCGTACGTAACTGCGCTTTGGGAAGGTCAAGGGACCTCGTGGTTTCCACGAGGTGCCCAGCCTCCTGCATTTCAGTATTAACATCTCAGCCTTATCTCAGTTCAATAATCGTAGGATTCAGGTTTCCTCGTAGAGTTAAGAATACAGCGGTATGGTTGTTTGAAACACTCTCTCCTGTTTCAAAATGATAGCATGAGGCCCTGTGTGAACCATTTGTTCCGCCCCCATAGCTAGAAGTGTAAAAACTGGGCAACGATCCCAGGTATTCCCCCTTAGAAGTTGCATCCTATCTAACAGCGGTAAGGTAGGGGCAATTCCTACTCTGGATTCCACGTTCTCTCCTGGGAGAATGACTGGCCGGACGGTTGGAGGCTCTATTAGCTAGTGTTGTTGTACAAAGGTCGGTCCGAAGAGCCTTAAGTAGTAAATGATTCCCTCATGCAGGTTGCTTCATTTCGTTCGCTCCTACTACAACTATACCACGTCGCCAAAGCACAGGCTAAGCCTTCTCTAGGAACTATTCCCGGCGGGGCAGAAGCGTTAGACAACTAGGTGCAATGTCAAGCTGAACGAACATGATATAGCATCACCTTCTCGCACGATACTCGGTCTATTCTTTTCCTCTTCACATGCCCGAATCCTGAGATTTCTAGCTAAAGATATGGCGCCGCTATTCTTTTTTGTATTTGTATTTGTTTCGCATGTTCAGAGTCAGGCTCTGCTTTCTGTTATGGAACAGCATGTTGAACTTAGTGCATTTAACCACTATGTAAATTCCTCGTCGACTCTCACAAGTCTATTCTCATCCGCCAACAATATTACCCTCCTCGCCCCATCGAACGCTGCATTTCAGACATGGCTCTCGAACCGGTCACCAACGCTGAGCTCGGATCAAATCGAGGCTCTATTAAGTTACCATGTTCTCCATGGAGTGTTCCCGACCGTGTCCCTCTCGCCAAAGCCACAGTTTGCGAGCTCGTTCCTTACCAATACGTCCTACGCCAATGTCACTAGTGGACAGAAGGTTGAGTTTCTACCAACCATTAATGGGGACCCACAAATAGTGTCTGGGAACAAGAGCATTAGCGATTTTTCAACAAAGGTAATAATTTGAGGTTAGTTGTGGAAGGTTTTTTGTTAACGAAGAGATATAGGATATACTCTTCACAGGGGGACTCATCCAAATCATTGACACCGTTCTCACCATTCCTCTCAGCTACGAGCTGTTGGTGACGCAAGCGAACCTCTGGTATGTACTGTACTTTTCTTCAAGTAAACCATCTCTTAAGCTGGTCTTGGAGTGGTCAGATATGGTTCGCAAGGGAGTCGCCCCCATTTCTGAGACGCTGCCTCTCGTTTGGTCCAGATCACTTGGTCTGACTTCCAACAGCTTCCTAGTCGCCATCTTGACGGCAGGAGGTTATCTTAGTGCAGCCGACGCAAACTTGGTGAATGCGGTTCTATACCGACCCAATATGACCTTCTTCGCACCCAACACGCAAGAAGCGCTCGCTGCATTCAACGAAATCGCACCAAACATGTCCCAATCCGAACTCGCGGGCGCCTTCAACTACCACGCTATACCAAACTTCATTGGCTACAGCTCTCAGCTTAAATCGGGAATGCAGTTGAAAACTGCGCAGGGAACCAATGTCACGATTACTATTCAAGGGAATACAACATTTGTTAACGGCGCGAAGATTGTGACGTCGGATTATCTCGTTGCTAATGGAGTGGTGCATATGATTGACGGGTAAGCATCACAACTCCTTCGTGAAGGAAGAAAATGGTTGACCACAGATAACAGTCTTCTCGACCCATCCAATACCACGGGGCCGCCACCGCTCGAAAATGCCACTGGGACAAATTCAACGACTACCACCAGTACTCCGAGTCCCAAGTTTCATTTGAGCTCGGGATCCAAAGTGAGACTCGGTATCGGGGTGCCATTAGGAATTGGTGCTTTGGCAGGAGGCTTATATGTCCTTCTCAGGTGGATAAGGCGGCGGAAGATGGCAACCTCGATGTCGAACCTGGAAGCTCATAAACAGAACTTGAACTTGAGGCGTTCATCTGTTCAAGAACTTGATGGCAGGAATTGGCAGAACTACAATTTTGTTCAGTGTGACCGGACAGTTTCGAATCAAAGTTCGCAGAGTGGATTTGAGAAGTGGGCGGTGGAGTTAGATGGGATAAGCATTCTGTGATGGGACAGGCATTCGGTGATGGGACATGAGAAATTCCTTTGTATGCTAATGCTGCCTATTTCACATCTTATCTTCATGCATGATCGTCATATTCAAAATAATTAAATTTACAGCTTTCAATTTCAAAAAGGTGTTCTCCCGAACGTAGTAATTGTAGGCATTTCTTCCTGTGAGCAGCAGCGGATCTTCACATCGTGCTGCATCACCATTAGATAAGATGGCTTGGCTCCCCTTCCCAATAGAGAGCCTTCAGGGTTCCTTCCCGGATTGGTTCCAGAAGATGATACATAATATATGTTCAGAGTAAAAGGACCGGTAGAGCAAACTTAGAGGCATCTATATTCCCATTACCAAAAATGTGAGCCAAGGGTCAAATATCACCAAATGGGATGTCAACGCACGATTCGATGCGTGCAAACACATATCAAAGAAAATTCCCTTATAACCCACCTCTCTAATAGCACAAGACTCTTAATACCATCTTTGTCAACCTTGCTAGCTACTATAATACACTTCTTTGTTGTCAGACACCCTTTCGTCATCAACCTCAGCGCTTCTGTCGGTATACAACTCTAGTTTTAGCAATTTGCAAATCGCTTATCTATACCCCGATGCATATCTCCTGCTGTGGCTTGGAGAATGGACCAGGGTTGAGGTTGAATTGGTGGTTATGAGGTGGGTCACGGGGTGGGTTGCGAGAATGGATTTGGTCAGGCTGTATTTGACTGAGAGAAGTTTAAAACAGAAGTGCAGCTTGATTGTCATCCGCGAATAATTTTCTTAAAGAGACTCTCGTCGAAGACTTCATAGCTTGGGAAGACTGTGGGTGTGGATCGGTGAAGTCGGTCATCAGCTTGTACATAGTCAGCCCGTAATCTGTAAGACAAGGGATTGGTTCAAAGTCGGCCCAACGGTCCAAAAATAGCCATGAAATAGGCCACAAAAGGCTTGCTCCCAGTTATCGGCGAATCAGTTGGCGTGCATATGTTTTGTGACAACCTTTATGGAGTTGGTGGCTGCTTTTGGCATCCCTCGTGCCAAAATAGGAGGCGAGTCGCTTACCGAGAATTTCGCCCATAATGCTTCAAATTCCTGCCCCTACTAACCGCACAAGTCTTTTATACAGCTCGTATAAAAAGTTTAGCATTCGTTTGGTTTTTGTATTAATGTTATTTCAGTGACATCTTCCAGCCTTATCTCAAAAATTTCAAATGTCTAGAAAGATACTCCTCATCGGCAGCATGAAGAAGGGAGTCTTCTTTACAGCATCTCAAGGAATGACAGCAAGCTTTCCAAGACCCGAAAAACTTCCCGTGGTGAACTAGAAATCTCTGTACATCCTTTAGAAAGAATTTACATGCCCTATTTGTAAGACTTACATGTTGTTCTCAAGAGACTGGGCTCCCGAGCAGTATGGCTCTGATGTTCTCTTCTTCCGAGCGGCTTGCTTGGACTCGTTTTTCAGCTTTGCAGCTTTAGTCCGAGACCCCAACCTTGGTATACTTGCCTTTGTATAGAGATGACTCGGGTGGTTTGAAAATTACAGAGATACTGAGCTTGCGTTCTGATTCACTCAGACTTTATTTTCTACAACTGCAGTTTCGTATAAAACAGATTTTTTCAAAACCTACCATCCAGAATGTCGGGTCAAGTTCATATTTCATAATTCAACTCTCTGTAGTAACCGATGTCAATCTTGGTAGGCCAAGTATTTAAGAACGCTCAACTTGAAGATGGATTGCCCCTCAAGAATCACTTGCCCAATTTCCGAACAGTTCACTTTGCTCTATCGTTCCTTCTTCTTGAATTCAGTGATCAAATAGAAGCAAAATGGCACTTCCTTTCCTCTTGGTGACAGTGTAGAAGTCAACCTGAGCGGTTCAGCGACTTGAAGTGTTCGTAGTGCAACTGTGTGTACGGATGAGAATGACAGCAACTTATCATTTGGCAACAAATTTAACTATCATAGTCTTTACCTCCGATCTGGAATCCTCCTTCTCCCTGTGGTCTAAACAAATCGACGAGGGAATCAGAAGTGGACTCCGTCTCTCAAAGAATACAAGGTAGCCAAGGCGTTGGTGGATAATGGGCATCGATGCGGAAGTCTCTGGTTGTGTTGTTTCAAGTGGTCCCGACTTTTGAAATGAAGCTGAGATCTTAGCCTTATATAATCTACCGTCTGAAGGTGAACTTCAAGAACTGACAATGAGACAAACTTTCGCGCTCAGTTTTTCTAGTTGTGGTAACCCAAGTTCGTGTTGCAACCCCAGACCAACGTATTCACTTCCCATCGCTAGCAAGTGTTGATCACTTTCTCCCTCAAACCCCGTCTTTGGGGACGGAAGAAGTAATAGCAAGTGAAAGAGTATATAAATGTAATAAGTCACAAGTGAGAAACACCAAGCTTTCTGCAAAGCATTTCATCTCAAGAACGGGGGCGTAAGGAGAGAGGACATCATCACATTTCTCACCCGGGCACATGAAATTTTGACAATGTATGTGGAGCAAGAAGTAAGGACGTCGAGTTCCGCATCGCAATCCTCAAAAGTTGTACACTTCTCTTCAGACCGAACTTAAAGAATCTGACAATTTCATCCATCTGACAACAAAAGCAGCTTTGACAATAAAGAAGATCAATCACCGTCACCTATATTACCCTCTTTAGATGCCCGTGGCCTCGGTGGTGGTGTGATGCCCCACGGAAGGTTCCGTAGGGAGGCGATATATTGATTGACAATCCGGAGCTGGATAATACTGGTATAAATCGGAGTGGGTGCGGATATAGGTTTTGAAGCTTGCTCCCAGCATCACAATTCAAAGTCATCGCATACAAGGCCGCTTTCAATGTGCTTCAGTACTTATTCAACTTCGCTGCTAAAAGAATCCGAGCTTAAAATACATGGCTATGTTGTGCTACGGTAAGCAATGAATCAGTCTGTCTGGTTATCCCAAAAATTACAAAAGCCGCAATTGGAATCCTGGAGTCCATCAATTCTATTATCCATGCAATATACGAGTTATGATCTTCCCAGTAGGAAATTTGGACTAAGCAACGAGGATGAAACACCCGGCTCTTCTTTTAGGCAAGTTATCGTACAAGATCAGGCAACATCGGCGCGACTACACAGCTATATCGAGGGCCAGGAGGGGTACGACGTTGGGTGCGTCCTAAGCATCTATGACGATGTGATATTGCATGATATCAGCACCTCGGGGCACAGAATCTTGGGAACAATCTTCCTGATGCAAGACTAAGGAGAGTTATCTCTGCTGTAGTGCGCGGCGCAAGCTGCATTGGCTGCAGAAAATCTTAAAATTCATGCAGCGGGGAAGTTTCACCGAAGAAAGTTCGTAGCTAGATTTTGGCTGCTCAGCCATAGCAGGCAGATTCATGTCCGAGCGAGGCAAGTACGACAAATGCCGCGACAGTGAGTAGAGTTGCAGTGACTGCAATTGCCAAAATTAGTTCATTGATGGGGGCTTGGAATATCGATTTCCAGTGGTCAATTTGTTGCCACCACGAAGTCATCCCGGGCCATGAACCTCAATTCCCAATTCATATACATAGCCCAAGGATCTACATATGCCGTAAAACCCGGGTCAGTTTCCTTCTCGAGGTTATAGACGCGTAATACAATATAGACACCCGTGGGTATTCTACCGCTACCCCAGGAAACGGTGTGTTTACGTGCCTGGAACGTATCAGCATTTTTACAGTTCCTTAACCAAGGACGTTTGAGAATGATACCATTATCACTTGATTATTGCTCATATGGAATGGCTCTTTGCAAGGCCCAGATGTCGATTTCACTTCCAGATGGTATATTGGCGGGCTTTCTGACCACGTTTCAACATCACAAATAAATCCATGTGTTGTTAATATCTCTGTCAGTTTCCCATTGGTGTCTTGATACGTGAAGTCGGCGAAGTCTCCTTCTTTTTCCACGAAAGGATTGTCGGGGTATAATTGGTTGCGATTTCGACTTGTCCAATGGCGAGTGGCATCCCATTCAGGCTTTAAATTTTTGGAGAGCCACTCGTTGATCTGCCGGTCGTCGGTTACCCGCTTGTAGACTTGAACAGGACTGGATAACACCACTTACAAATACTTCCCCTTGCAACCCAATGTAATGATTATAGAGCCCCTCCATTGTGCGCCGCGGATCTGGTTCCGTTCTCGGATTGTGAGGATTCTGGCTAAACCTCGAGCCGTGTGGATGTCGGACTAGTGAGGTGCCATAATTTTGAGAAGGACTGGCTGTTGCTAGCACACTTGACAATGCGGAATTCATATCTCTAAACTCAAAAGCGCCATGGGAGTTTTGAGGTCCATGTCCACTCGCGGAAGGTGTCGAAGATCCTCCAAATTCAGTCTCGGGAGGGAGCAGCCCACTTTCCGTCCTAGACGACGTAGGAAATGATATTTCATTCGAGTTGGTGAGAATACCGGGCATCAGAGGAGTGGACATATTCGTCCTCTGTGATGGGGTTATGACTAAGGTTGGGGTTATGTTTTGACGGGCAGCGGCTGCTCTGACGGACAAGATCCTTTCATGCAACGCCGGAATCCTATCTCTCAAAAAGGAAGAATGACTTGAAAGTGGAGGGTCGGGCGGTGTATGTGGAACACCCGAGCGTGAACTTGGTATCATTGGCGACGGAATTGCACTGGAATTGATCTCGCGGATCGGGCTATTTTCTGCATCGTTCTCTTCGCTCAGTTCGCTGACGGAGTCGAGAGTTTCAGCAGAATTGCTATGGGGGTCATTTGGCAGGTCTAGCCCATAGCTTTCAAGTAACGTTTCGATGCCCTTTAGCGGATATGTTAGGATAGGAAGAACCAACTTTTCAAGCTTCTTGTCAGTGATACCACAGAATTCGACGAAGTCCTCGGATAGCTCGAAGTTGAGAATGGCTTCTTCTGGATTCAGGGCGTATATGATTTCGAGTTTGCTTTTGTCGGTGTCATTAAAAAGAAGACTACTTGTATCGTCTGCGCCAATTATGCCGTCGACCTGGTGTGATAATTTAATAGCAGATACGCCCCAAACCTGCAACGTTTCCAAGCGGGCAGCAAGACCTTTTATTTCTAGAATAGTCTTGTCTTTGATGAGCCTATTGAAATAGCCCGTAAGAATCCTCTCCATTTATGCATGCAAGGCTACTTACCGCTGGAAATATGACGCTCTTCTCCTGAGCTCTAAGCTCCGTTCTTCATCGTAAATCAAGTCCCCAATTGCTTCCAAAGTTTGCTCACCTGCTTTAGAAAGTAACTTGTCCGACAAATCCATAGCCTGTATGAGAGGATCCAATTTCCGGACTGTTGTGACGTCGAAGGTGATGAGTGGAAGCCTTCCATCGAAGCAGTCCCACAACTTCTGCCTGTCTGCAAGATACCAAGTGTCCGAGCCGTAGGTCATACGGCAGAGGCTTCCGTTAGGCATCCTTACCGGGATTATGTCCTTCCCTCTCAACTTTGACAAGCAGTTTTTGGGAGACCCCTTTCTCAAATATTCATTCAACTACAATAGCAACTCTTCAAGCCTGCTGAAGGATGTGCTGCTCGTCACACAGTCCAGCTCCTGGATGACATGATCAAGAGTTACGTTTCCCAGTTTCAGAAGGTCTCGAAATAACTTCTTATACTGAGGAAATTCAGTGCTGAGGTGGTATGCCGAAGCTAGATGGGGCCCGCCCCATACGCAGTCGCGCAAAAAGACCCATCGTTTGAGCCCCTCGATGAAGACGAGTGGATGTCGTGTGAACTCAACCCTGGAGTTTATTAGCCACCTCAAAATATTTGGGGGGACGGGGGACGGGGGACGGTGGGAATTCGGCTGTTCTTCACGTACTGTGCCTCTCTTGGGAACGATCCTATGGAGGATTCAAGCCCGGCGTATGCTGCCTGAACTGATAATTTGGAAGCGGTGCTAGAGTCTGGTCGAGAAGTGAGAGCTTTGAGCTGACGAAGGTAGAACGCAGCGGATGGATTGGTAAGGACACCGAAGTGCAAGAATCTAAGCCAGCGAACGTCATTGTGCTCAGGAATCGCTATGAATGACAGGTCCGGGCCCTCAAGTTTCAGTTTCTCAAGTGGTAGGGCGGTCTCGTCTAAACGGCGAGCGAGCCCGTCGGTGCAATCCACGAGCATCTCTGAAACTGCTGTGGTCAATTTGAGATTGAGATGGTCATAATACATATCCCAATGATCCCGTAAAAGGAGCAGCAAATCTATAGCTGCATTATTCTTCAGGAACTTGAATTCTGGGGTTAAGTTCTGAGAGTTATCGATGAGGCGGGGGTGAGTGGAAATTTTCAAGCGAGAGCAGGCCCAATCCAAGAACTCAGATTCTTTCCCCAGAGTGCGGACTGCGTTAAGATAATCCGGATGCAGAAGTGAAATGTTACTTGCCGGATCCCTAGCATACTTAGTTAGGATTGACGACTTGCCCGGATGTTCAATGTAGAACCTTTTGGCGTATCTGAAACCGTTCAGTGGTGTAGCGGGAAGTAGCTGGAATCCCTCAAGAGATTTTTTGTAAACAGCCCGGGGCGTCTGAAACAGGTAGATCAAATCTTGGATAGAATGTGTCAAGGATAGCCCGCGAAATGCATTATAGCGTTGCATGATCAACTGGCAGACTGCAGCTTGGTCACACTTCTCTATGCAAAGCCACCGGAAGAAATCTTTTCGATTAGCATCCTGGCATGCCTCAGCATCAACCAAATTGATATCCAACCCACCCGGGACTGCCGTACGGGATGTATCTTCTTCAAGAAATACATTGCCCTGGGAGGTTGTAACCCATCGGCCATCATGCAGAGGGATGAGGGGGATATGTTGCAGCTGTGACACGCTTCCTTCGCGATAAAAAAGACCTGCCACCTTTGAGTGCCATTGGTTGGACTTTCCTTTCAGAAATGAAATGCCGCGCCGAGCAATGAGAGCACGCAGTTCCGTATAGAAATCCAAGAATGACATGACTTTCACGCCCATTCGTGTGAGCTGTGGTAAGATCTGACTGATCTCTGGATCGTAGGCAAAAGAGAGATGATACGGCGTAATCTTCTCGTCTTCGACCAAAGGCTCGCCCTTGAATCGGAATTCCGATGGAATATAGAATAGAGAATCGGGGCGCGAAAGGTCCATATTGTGTCGGCATTCAAGGACGTCTCGTTTTGCGAGCCGGCTGAATATCCACCGCTTTAATTTCGACCAGAATTTGTCCGTTCCCCCATTGTCCATCAGAAAAAGAGGCCACATATAGCGAAGGCTTGGAGAGCTTCCATGGATCTCATTGAATCGGGGAACAGCTCGCCGTACAAATGTTCTCAACACACCTGTCAGGACGCTGTCGTTCCACCTCGATGAATCAACGCTTTCCCTGTTGGCGATCAAGAGAAAATCTCCCTGTATGAGATACTTTCCAGGTTGTAAGTTTCCACTCACAGCAAGCATTGGCTTTTGGATTGACTTACATTGAAGCCGTAGTCATCTATCGGAAGGTATGCGTAGGTATGCTGGTCGTGTAGTACTGGTCTCATTTCCTCATCTATTGGGAACGCCAGCACAGTCTCTGTCTCTGTGATGTTCTCCCTTCGGTCGTCTTTCTCGAGAGTTGTCTCAATACGACGGACAATGATATACCTGTGCTCTGTAGGCTTGTTGTCCCTCGAGCATCTGCTTGTCAAAATCGCTGTCTCTTCCCCATCAAAATCTGCGTCCTGGTTGAGCCTCCGAATATCGAACTGGCGTTTTCCCATACGAGGCGTATAAATAACTAACTTACGTATTTTACGCAGAAAGATGAGAATCTGTGGCTGTAACTTCTCAAGCTCGATGTGGATATCTTTGTACTCTGCATTGCCTTTGATCTCAAGAAAGGTCTGTGTTTGGCCAATTTTCAAATGCTCCGGTGGAAAGGCTTCGATAATAGGTGCAATCATGCCGAGCATGCTGCGTCGATCGAATTTGAATGCATATCCCTTTGAAGAGATATGGACAGTGTCCGCAACCTTGAATATAGACTTAAAACCGATACCCTTCTCTCCAATGTAGCCTTTAGTTCTTTCCTTGTCTTTCTTCGTGCTAAATCCGATTCGACAGAGGGCTTCTACATTGGCTTTATTGAAACCAACCTCATTACAGTCGATGCGCAGATAATTATCCGTAGCGATATCCAAAGTTAAGGAAATCGTTGGAATATCACTCTCGAAAGTATTATCATCGGCATTCTGAATTAACTCCAGTAAGAAATGAGTCGGCTTTTTGTACAGCTGGTCAGAAAGTCTATGCTGTATATTAGATTACAATAGTGAGAGATGATTAGAATGCCTCACATGTTCAATGCACGATTCAAGTCTTCCACATTGTTAGATTGCTGCCCATTTGAAACATCAACACCCTTCCGCTTACGGATGTCTCTTAGGTGATCATCGGCTTCCTGTTTCAGAACGTTCGTGGAAATGATTGTTGCCATTTCTAGTGATAGGCGCAGGGTGGGAATTGTAATAGCAAAAGCAGAGAATGACAATAGAGCATGAAGAAAGGCAAAATTAAGAGTGAAGTATAAAGCGAGCGGGTTGGATGCAGTTGAATTGAATCTGGACTCAGGGGTAGTAATTCCGGCTCGATTCAGTGCAGAATCGAAGTTGCAGCCCCGATTGCGCTCCGTGCGGTGGTTGGACACTCAACTGTCGCAAACGATTCCGGGGTTTGGATCGAAATCGGTGTTATTGCCCGATAAGTTATCGAGTTTAATATAATCGTTCCTTGTGCGACTACGTAGCCTTGCCGCCTTCCTAAATCATCTTCCTGAAACCTAATGGTCTTGTGCTGTAACGGGGATACAAAGTATCAAACTAGGGGCAATATGTGGCTTCCACAGCGCGGGATCGCAGCGTACGAGTGAATCGTGATTCGTGAAGAGAGTGAAGGTTGGTTGATTTCTAAGAGAGAATGAGAGAGCGGGGTACTATATACGCTGCTGCGGAATGTCTGCTCCGGACTCCACATGACCGCGCCACGTGACTAGAGGAGCCGAAATTCTCACCACAGTGCCTCTTGAAAATAAAGAAGTGAAGTTGGGGCACTAATTCTGTCTGGCCCTTGACGGTGCAGCTCGTTAACTAACATGCAAAACGAGCTCTAGGGGGCCTCTTGGAGATTTTGGATGAGGCAATGGGAGGAGTTAAACCACATGGTTCTTGTGACGGCGGGATCAATGCAATGGTCGAAGGCTCAAAGTTCAAAGAATCTCGTGTATTGGGAATACTAAGCTGTAGAACAAAGTAGGGAGGATGCCTCGACCTTTAGTATTGTTCTGCCCAAGCATTCCAGCTTAGCTTCGTTTTGTGCCTGTTTCCGATATCCTGTCCTTGGCAGATCATGCCGTTACGCCAGCCGTCACAGTTCTGCTGTTCCTCAGATTAGTTATATGAACAAGTAGCTTCTTAGGAAATTTTCCTTCTATGACCAAATTGCCTAATGAACTAGTAAATGTCAAGTTTAGTGGCCACAAGTCGCTGGGCTTCTAATAACCAGGCTAGTTTTTAATAGATCTAATAAGCATATAATTAATAAAAGTTAAACCTTATATATCTCTTAGTAAAATATTTACCTATAAGCGAGCCTTATAAAAATCTTAAAACCTTATTTTATTTTAAATAGCTATATTAAGATAGTATTGAATTTAACGTATAAGATAAGTAAATAATTAAAAAGCTTTAATTTTTTAAAAAAATTATATTACTTAAAAAAAAGAGAAGTAATTATAAAGTTAAATTATAATTAAAGAATTAAATTTAGAATTAAGAATTAATACTTTCTTAATAATTATTAGGATCTTATAATCCTGGTATTAAAATTTATTAATACCGGAAATTAGGTATTTTTGCCAAGTATAGCTAAGTGAATGGGGAGCTATATTGGGCCCCCTCCTTAAAAGTTAATGACTCTAATAGGATGCATTAATGGGGTGAGCAGACCTGAGCCGACCTTAGCAAAGGCGATATTGGACATGTGAGCAAAAGCGTGGACATTCCCGCGGTATAACAGATAAACCACTATTAATGCTTTCGTTACTCCTCGTTACTCTCCTTGCAGCGTATTCATTCGCGGAATAAGTGAAACGCTGAAAACGAATATGCAATCACAGCCAGCCAAACCACCAAGTAGACCTTCCTCATCCCGGACTCACCACGCACTCTCACGGAACACCATCGGATTCTATCTTGGCGGTAGGTTGACAGTAAGTCTTTCCAGTGTTGGAAGATGGAGCTTAGACTGCTTCTCTCGAATGGAGCTGGCTACATCAAAGGGATTTCTGGGCTTTGGTGACACAGCCTTCTAACAATAAATAAGAGAACAACACATCATCATCATCATCATTATCAGCGAGAAATTGTAAAAACTCAACGTAAGATAAATTCAAAACTCAAGCATCACACCTCATCAACAACCAACTTCCACAGAATAGAAAAAAAGCATCGCAACTTCCCCTCCTCTCACCTCCCCCCTTTTCCATCCCCATCCCCACCTCCACCTTCATCCTCCCTCTCCTAACCAATCTAAGCACAGCTCGTCTTGCTACACACAATCGGATTCCACCACGGCGTCTCGTCCAAGCACGTACAACGGCAAATATTATTGCTATCGCAGTGCGAGTTGCAGTACCCGATCGCGAAGCAGTGCGTGAAGCACGCCAGGCCCTTCGTAACGCCGTCGATGTTGCAGGTGACGCGCTTCTGCAGGCCCGGCACGATGGCGGCGTCGCGGCCGCGGATAGCGACTGGTGTGGTGGAGGGGGAGGGGTGGTCGAGTTGGACCTGTGGGTTGGTGGTTAGTGTGTGTTTTGTCTGATGGGGATGGTGTTGGGTGAGGGGCTTTGAGGGGATGGGTTGGAGGGATAGAGGGGAGGCGGCTTACTTCGGGCGCTCCACCGTCGTGGCCTTGTGCGCAATCGATGTGTCCGTCGTCGTGGCCCTTACAAGTGATGTTGCGCGAGCCAACATACCAAGAGACCTCAGCCTGGACAGCCAGGGCGAGAGCAGCGAAACTGAGGAAGTGCGTGAGCTTCATTTTGCAGTTTTCCAATTGCGGGTATTGGATTCGATAGATAGATAGCTGGCTAGCTTGCGGATCTTGATATTGGAAAGTTGTGCGTTTGAGATTGATGTTGATGTTGAGAAGAGAGATGGAAATGGCTCTTCTTATACCTTTTTTTCTTCTCTCTCCTCCTTTCCATCATTCATGATGACCCGAAGAGCTCTTGAAGGATCGAGGTCTATAGATGATTTCTCCTTTTTTGTCATCAGCCTTCGATGTCCCTGCACAGGCAGCAATCCCGAGCATCGTGAGCTGAACGAAGTCGAAAGTCTGTGCTGTGGAAATCCCGCATGAGAAGTGATTCCAGCAAGAAGAGACGAGACGAGACCGCGAAGGATCGAGGGTGGATCCTTTGATCGCCATCCCCTGATAGATTTAAGATGATTTGCCGCCGATCTGTTTTCGAGGGCTAGGATTATTGCGTTTCTTCAAACTCGTCATAGGCTCCTGCTTGTCGTGAATCTATTTTCGACATCGCCACTTGGTCTGGAAATAGCGCTGAGGTAGCTTCTGAGAGGCGAACTGATCGTCGAAATCATCATTTGAGCGGTCACGGTGTTGAAACGGTCAAGGAAAGACGTACTTCTAGTGTATTCTGCGCTTTCTTTCAATTTAAAGTCATCTATTGATGTGAGAGGCTAGTCCGAGGTACGGAGCACTGGCTAACAGCACTCGCCACAACAACGGCACCTGAACATTTGTCACAGGAAGAGAAATAGCAGTGTCCTGTATTGGCAAACATAAACGACGTCAATCAATCCAGCAATAGACCAGAACCAGTAATTGGATATTTAGTGACATGCTTCAGCCTTGCCTCCTTCGCCTCCTTGCACCGCGGGGGCAAGCTTGGCGTTTCGAATTGCGGGGTTCTGCACAACATCCAGGAACCATTTCTTTCTTTCTTATTTTAAGCTCAGGCGCCAGGATCGCGTAAGTAAGACGGGACAACTCAACTGCACGGAAGCAGTCAGTCGGTCGGTCGATCGATCGAACAATCATGTTCGGCCGCTCGTACGCATGCCGAGAATCCTTTCGCAGCTTCGCTTGGGTGTTTGATCGACGACATGGCGGCGTTCCAGGGTTGCTCGAACTGGCTCGATTGCAGTTAAGCTTAATCGGCAACAGGCCCCTGGTGTCACGTTGAGGGATCCATAGGAAGTCAAAATCGAATGATTCGCTCGCCATGTGTGATCCCACAGGATTCCCGTCAGAAGGCTCCGTAGAATCTAAATTCAACGCAACGCAATGCAATGTAAATAGAAAAAGTTTCGCCCGGCTGTACTTCGTCGTCTCTCTCGCATCCCGGTCTGATTGGCCGCGGACTTCTCCGTCCGAATTAGAACATGTTCCTGCCGTTACGTAGAACGCCTACCTAATTAACGAGCTGACCGTAACGATCAGATCCAGCATCATCGGCAACTTTGATCGGCGAGTCCTTAAGCCGGTATCCATGATTGAAGGGAAGATTTACGAAGTTATATTTATCACGGGGCGCTAGCCACGAGACGGACTCTGCTCTGGCGCTCGCTATCCCCTTCGTTGTTGGGATGTGAAATTTGTAATTATTTACATTATATAATAATCAAGTCGTCAAATACGTATTGCATAATGCATTGTATAAAATTAAGTATAAGCCAAGCATAAATTAAGTATAAGTCAAGTATAAGTCAAGTATAATTTGAAGCACAAAATTCCGACATTCTCACGCAGATCCTATTGGCTAAAACCCCCTGTCCCGGCCTAGTAAGGCATAATATTACTATAATTAAGTCCAGTGGATTATATTACGTTATTATGTATTCAAGTTCTAAATTACATAATTTTCACAGCCCTACCTTCCAGTCCTCCCTAAAGTCGAGAACCACCTCCCCAACAAGACTATGGGCAACTGTGAGAAATGGCCTGACAATCCCCAAAGCTGGGGACTTATTATGGAGATTACTTCATGATAAGGTACCGACAGGCCACGAACTTCACTGGATCCCTCTTGACCAACAAGTTTGCCCACTACATGGGTGTAGCTTGACGAAAACGCATATTTTCATTGAATGTGAGACTGCAACTGCAGTAATGCAAGAAATGGACGAAGTCTGGGCATATCTGGGTTCAAAAGTACCAGCGATATGGCCATCCGATATGGACGGAGTAACTGCCCTAATGGCCCTGGGCTGGGGTAAGGAGAAAAGCTCAATAGAACGAAGACGCTGGAATGCTATTTTTAGGACCGCAATATGGTGTCTATAGAAGTGCTACCTATCAGTTGCATGGAAAGAGCCGTACCAATTGTGGAAACCCGGAAGTAGCTGTCCTAGTATTCAGAACAATATTACGGAAACAAATCCTAAGCAAAAAAAGTACTGGCTCAAAATGAGATCTACCGAAATAAGCACTATAACGAATCGTTATTTCTGTCCCTTTGGAAGGAGAACCCGCGAACTCTAAGCTTACGGAAAGGTCCGAAGTGCCTAATCCGCACGGAACCACCGAGTAAGGAATCGGAAGAAGAGGACATGGAAAATGATCAAGTACAAGGCAAAAATAAAGGGCAAACTGTGGCAAACTCCGTGGAGGACCTGACAGATCCCTTTATTGACGAAGAATGACCGCACTTGCGGGTTAAATTATTCCTAAAAATGAACCTATATCCCTTACAAAAAAAAATGAATATCCTCGATGGTCAATACTGCACCTCCCTTTCCTAGTATTACAAGGGCAGGCCTGCCTGTATAGTCCGAAACAACTTAACGTAGGGTGGCTGGTAAGTCGGGTTCGATTCCCGATATATTGCTCCTGGTGGCGTAGCACCCCTTCGACTAGTGGCCCTTAACCGGACGCTAGATACCAAAAATCAACGATAATGCAGTAAAGTCGAGAACCCCACCTCTCTTGGCTCAGATAATGACGTGTGAGATTAAATTAGACATATCATATCATATCATATCATCATATCTAAGTAAAAACAAACAAAATAAAACACCCGGGGTTGAAGTTGAGGTTGAGAACGTGCTGGTTAGAGGTAGGTATAGCATAGCATAGTATGGAATAGTATAGAACAAAGCAGGGGGAAAGGGAAAGCGATGAAGATGCATGCGAATCTGAGAGTGAGTTGGTAGGAATACGATTATCTCCATTTCAACAAAGAGGACGGCATATGATATACAGGTCGTGACGTGAGGCTAATTTTGATAAGGGTGGGACTGACTCTTGGTGCTGTAATATGAGTTATGTATGGGAGGCGAGGGGAGCCATTTTGAGAAAAAGCAAGATCCGAGAAGGACACGCTGTGAAGAGAACGAAGGTGTTGAGTATCATGGCACTAGCAACAGAAGAACGAGAGCATGGGCAACTTGCTCCAATGCAATGCGTTCAATCACGCCAAGGACCAGGGAGAGATATGCTTCAAAAAGGTTTCTGTCTTCTTCTCGATATGAACAGCGACTGCCGTTCAGCCATCCATCCATTGATGAATCCCACTCAGCACAATGCCCTCCATGTCTCAAGCCAATACAATTCGTACCAGCCATACAGCTGAGATCAGACAGTCCGGTCTCTGTCAAACAAACACTGCACTTTCCCAGCCCATCTTCTTCCCATGCACGCCTTCCTAACAGTCCCGCTTTTCCATCTCTGCCATGCTGCCCCCTCCATCCTCTCAATGCAAAGTACCAAATGCAGCCAAGAAGAAAGCAGACCGTATGCTCGCGAGACAGTCGGACCAAATGCAAAAGTTGTGCCCAGGGGGATTAAGACGGAAGTATGGGGAATAGAGAACAGGAAGCGAAACAAGTATTCATGGATTTCAATTCGAAAAATTTCGATGCTGCGGCGCCATGGATATGTACGTTCTGTGATGTGATGTGTGTTTTTCGAGAATCGAGTTTCGTTCGAGAGCCTCCGAAGAGGGAGAATCGTCGTCGGGCGACAAAGACGAGATTCGTAAGGAAAAAGTTTGTAATCGGTTTCGGTTGATCGTGATGTTTATCATATGCGATCGTCTCAATATGTATTTTTCTTTCGTTTGTTTTGTTGTGTTTGGCATCAGCCATCAAAAGAGTGTGGTCCAGGATTCCTGATCCAAGAAGGGGTAACGCTATCGATCTCTCGCCTCGGAGGACGAGAGAATCGAGATGATATAAGGCGCTGTTGCTAACTCAAAAGTATGCCGATGCAATATGCACGCCAATCCGCGAGAGCAAATAGTAAGAATCCGCAAATTTCGATCTTTCGAAGATGAAGCGGAAGGACAACTCGCCGATAGGGACCAAACAGGCGAGCGTCGAAGGGGGAAAGGTAGAGGCAAAGTCAGGTACAAGCCCGCCATACCCGTATAGATCGAAGACCAAAAAGAAACGCCCGAGAAATGCCAAACGCCATGTCAATGCAAATATTAGTATGAGACCATACGTCGTGCGTGACCCGGCAGAGGGGAAGTCATTCCTGTCATTAAGAGATCACCACCTGTTGTCCTGGATCGAGCGGGTGCGGTCGGGCTGTCGTCTATCTGCCCATGTTGTCCAAAAGCAAAAGTTTGTGCCCTGCTGAGTTTCCTGGTCTGGCGGAGACGTCCCATCTCTCTCTCGCAGGTGTAAGCATGCTCCTTGGCGTCCATCTCAACGTAGTTCTGCGGGAAGCATCGACTTCGGTGCTCGGCGAAGAAAGAACTGTATCCACCATCCAGAATGTACACCTCGGGGTAGGTGAGCTTCGGGTAGTGTTCCGCATTAGTAGAGCGATCTTGTTTGCGTACATGACGAGCCATGATGGGTGCCCGGTGTGCAGAGTATTCGCAGTGGAAGATTAGTAAAGTTTTGCCAGAAAGACTTTGCTCGAAGAGTTGGCCAGTGAGTAATTCCTTGTCGTTGTAGTTGACAGCGCCATCGATATGACCACCGTCAAATTCATACTCGAATCGACAATCGATGATCATGCGTTGATCAAATTGGCTGTCGTAGTTTCCATCAAGGATTTCCAGAAGGGTGTCTCTGGTGATCCTGGGAATGCTGTCTGGCTGGCCTTCTTGGAAGAAATGTGGCAACGCCGGCATGTGAAGCTCATCAATATCCATCACCGTATGGAGATTGCTCGGAGGATGGTCATTCTTTCCCTTCATGACATCCCCCGGGTGCTCGAACATACTCAGGGACCGACGAAACTGCTTCCTGGGCCGAATTGACGGATTGGAAGGCCTTCGGTTGTGGTTGCCAATTGGAGATCCATTTCTCAACGAACTGATGCTTCCAAATGGTTTGCTCGGTTTGGATGGGCCCATGATCGACGCTGAAGGGCTGTTCGCAGACTGTGGTCTACGTTCCTGTGGAGGTGATTCCATAAAACATTCGCCCAATGTCATCGAGGTCGCCGTTGACAATTTGCTGCTTCCAGCACCAAAGCGGAAGGGAGGCAATTGGTCTTGAGTTCGACTTGGGATTGAATTGGTAGAGAATCCTTTTGTTCTTTGAAGGGTTGGCCGAACCAGGATTGATTTTCTTCGCCTGTAATTTAATTAGCAAATGTTCGACGGGAATGTACAATCTAGCTTACTCGACGCCATGGGAAGGTTTCGGAGCCTCCAAAAATGCAGGCCGAGGCGGCGATGACGGCATCAGAATTTCATCTGCGGTATGCCCTGGCGTGGGAGATTGGACCTCTATTTGTGCAAAGTATGGTTGCTTGTGAGGAAGGGGAGAAATGTCCATCCGTTCGTTCAGCGGTCCCGGCGAGGATGATGGGAGAGGAGGCGTCGTAACGCATTCTGCATATTGTTAACACCTTATCTACCATCTGCCAAATGTACCATTCTTACCCCGTCCATCAATTGTGCCAAATAGGTTCGAGGTGAAGAGCGATCGACGAGGCGTTGGCAATTGAGGGCTGGTAACGTCAGCGAAGTCCACAGATGATAGAATTGGATTCTGCAAACCTCATATCAATGTGAAAGTTCTGGGAGAGATCTGCCGCCAGACTAGCTGTCGGAGACGATCCGCGAATAGGCTTGATTTGGAAGTAGTCTGGGTTATTCGACCTCTTCATGCTGAGATCTCGGAAGTCGAATGCCCCAGGACCAAAGCCATTGCCAGCAGAAAGATGTGCATGAGGATGCGAAGTATACATGTCGTTACGGCCCCAGCCCTGCATGAAGGAGGTTGCCTGCATGGCAGCTAACGGTGATGAAGCCTCCATATTGATGTGGATGATAAGAGGAGGTAGTACTGTTCTGAAGCCGTCGTGGTTCAATCAATTGCTGTATTCGAGAGGATTCCGCTGCAGGGAATCTGGATCGAGGGTATCAACTGCTGAGCTGAGGCTCCAGAAGGCTGAATTAGAGGACGACAGCGAGAGCTGGAGATGGCAGGTCCAACAGTCCCGGTTGTACAACTTCAAGCCCAGTACGACCTGGAGAGAGGTCGAGGTTGGCGGAGGGCTATTGGGATGTCAAAGACATCGAGGCCCTGGTCTGCGAGGTTCTGGTTTGCCGGGTCAAGGCGAGGGTCGAGATGGTGGCGTCCTGTCGGGGTTAGTATTGTGTCGAGGCCCGTTGTCGTCGAAGAGGTACATGCGAGCGGGCGGGGAGGAGGCCCTTCGATGCAGAAGCTCCAGCAGAGGGGGATGAGGATGAAGCAGGAAGAGTGCGGACGACGTGAAGATAAAAGGGCAGGGCGGAGCGGGAGAGAAGAGAAGAGCTGGGAAGCTGGTTGGGTTTGGTGGATTGTGGGCCGGGCAGCTGTGTTGTCGGGGAGATTCCTAGGTCGGTCGCTACAGCTGCTGTCCTGGTTGTCGCCCGGGCATTTTAGCGCAGCGTTTGAGCGGGGATATGCCTCCAGCGACGGCAGGGGAGGAGGACCAAAAACCTTGCTGCGTGCAAAGGGCGAGCGATGCTGAGGGCGGCTTATTTGCAGGCGGAAGGAGGCAGAGGGAGTTGTTGTTGTTGCTGCGAATCATGCAGAGCTTGCGCCGTGTCTTGCAGCTGTTGATAAGAACGCAAGAGGGACGGAAACCGCCAAGAAAAAAAGAAAAAAGCAAACTACAGTCCCTTAGATTTTTGCATGACACATACTGACTTGTGGGCCGTTGTGCGCACTGATAGCATCCTGGCAAAGGCGTTGTTCACGTCGGAGCATTTCTGGTGAGCTTTGGGAGCTTTGGTGGTTTATGAACATGGCTTGGGCTGATATAGAGCTCGTTGCCGGGATGTAAATGATGAGCAAAACCCCGTGTCTGCAATGAATTCGTTTATGCAACCCCAGATTCTTTGAACAGTTTCTCACAAATCTTGATTGATGCACCCAAGGGCGAATAGCGTCATGTCATGCTTTCCAGAGATCACCGTCTTGACTTTCTGCCGAGGGCTGAGCTTCCCCATGTGAAGCTTGCTTACGCGATGTAAATATTGACAATCGCGTCCCACCACCACGCTCAATTGCATCATCACTCTCCCCAAATCCAGAATTAATTCCCCGCAACGCTTCCCATTCAGGATTGAGAGGTGCATCTGGCAAAGACCAATAGTTCCACGATCAGCTGTTCTCTTCCTCCGGCGTATCGCGCACTCTCGAACCGTATATGCGTGTCCAGCTAAGGGCGGGGGTGCTCACGTAAGGAAAGCGAAAGGATTCGGCCAGCAAGCGCGAGGCCACGGCGAGGCAAGGGAGATGCCACCACCTTGGCAGTCTCAAGCGCCGCCAAAAACTCCTGGTGATCTGGTCTGCTGTTCGCCATTATTCCCTGTGTGCAGAAATAGAAATGAAATATCTTCAATCTGCGTAGCCGCCACGATCTTTGATCGTCGCCGGGCGAGATCTGTACGACGCGGTGCGCGTGGCCAGGCCAACGGGAACCGAGAAGGCTGAGGCTCGGTCATGCCGTGCAGCGATGGCTTGACGGGCTCGCAGCGTCGTCCACTCCACTGGCGAGAAGGCTCAGAAGCGAGCCGCGGGCCGCGATCAGCCAATGGTGTTGCTCAGACGTATCCAGTCTCAAGAGTCAGCTCAGCCTCAACTGCCAGCCAGCGCCAGCCAGTGCCAGCCAGTGCCAGCCAGCTCCACCCGTGCCGCCGTCAGACGGAATCATAGAAGAAGGGAAAGGCAAGGAGGAACACAAGCGGGAACACAAATCTTGAGCATGATCTTCTACGGTAATGATCTGATCATTCGGGTTGATGTCAGCTGCTTGTCCATGCCGGACCATCTTCAGACATGGTCCATCCAAATAAACTCTTTCGTCTGCTCCATGATCCGGTGCTCGTAAATTTACAAGCGAGCTTCCAGGACAAGCTCTCCCTCACCTGCAGCCGCATCCGCATCCGGAAAACGTTCCCTTACTGCGCCGCTCTCGCCACCAGCCCGTCCCTGCTGATCCTTATCCCGCCTTACGAAACACACCAACCCAGGGTAATACGGTAAGTAAATACTGCGTCCCCACTTCTCCCGCCGTCCCAATTCGTCGACTCCTCCCGCTGTCCCAATTCGACCACTTCTCCCGCTGTCCCAGTTGGCCCCACTCCTCCCCGCTCCCAATTCGTCCGCTTCTCCCTCTCCCAGCCCAAACAGGAAACACAACTCGCACCCCTCGATCCGCCCTCCAGCTCTCGATCACGCTTCTTTTCCTGACATCATCACTCTAAACCTTCAAGCAGGACCTGACCATTTCTGATATCACGACCTCACGGCAGCTGCGAAGTCTCAAACACGAGAAGACGCGATCGTTGTTTACATGATGTCAATCTCTCAGAGTCCCATCTTTCACAACAAAGGATCTCGATCCTTCTTCCGCGGAATCTGGGAGCTTCTCCGCAGACGCAAAGAGAGCTCCACCTTGGGGTTTCGAGCTTCAAGCTTCAATCATCAGCTCACAACCTCACACGCTCCCCACCTGCGCGTTTATCTCTATTTACATTCGCACAATTTCACCATGAAACACGCTCCCCCACCAATCAAACCCCCCTCCCCCCAACAACCCCTCCAAGACATCCATTTCAGCCTGCCAGTCAGCGGGGTTCACGGCGCTTGCATCGGATGATTCGAGCTGCACCTCCCACGTCTCTGCAGTGCAAACATCGGGAGTTGTCGGCGATGTTTGTGCGGCGTGAACGCGGGAAGGAAAAGGCAAAAGTGGACGTGTTCAGCGCCAACCCAAAGCCGACCGTAAACAAACGCCACCAACCAGGATGCGCGAGGTCACGGGAAGAGCTTGGCGGCAAGCATCCCAGCTCCCACCCCACCTTCCTTCACCCTATGCCGCCTTCACTCCCTTGCCTGGAGCTTGAAGAGCAGATCTCCAAGCTTAAAGTTGACATGTCCCCGCGCTGAGGGCAGATTTACTTGTATCCTCCCTCAAAGACGATCAGCGATCAAGCGATAATAATACGTTGCAAGCTGCGCAGAAGAGGACCCGAGCTCTCCACAGCAACACACGGTTGCCCTGCGCGGGGCCGCAGCTGCAATGCAATGTGCTGCGCTGCAGAGTTGCATCAGCCCCGCTGTTTCGACACCCTGCTTGCACTGCGGACCCAGAGAGAAGCTCCAGAATGACCCCGCCAAAATGTCAATGCGAGCTTCAAAGCGTGATCCGCTGAGCTCGGCATGGAAACCGATTATTTCGGAGGGGAGGGTGGGATTGAAACATGCTGTGGTGCGCGGAGTAGAAGAATGAGAATGTGGTGTGTGATGATGAGGTGAGTCGAGGAGAAGGATTGAGGGACAAGCTGACCTTCACCGGAGACTTCGAGCAGAAGCTCGATAAGCCTCATTCCATCCCCATGGTGCATTCGTCCCATTGCCCGGATCCATCAATTCTGCCCATAGATCAATTAATACCGAACTAGTATATCAAAAAAGTAATTAAGGTATTTCAAATATTTATAAATATTTATAATTAGCTTAAATAAAATATAATTATTATAATACTTAAATAATTTAATTAAATTAGACTATATAATTATTAGTTTACTAGAAATATATAATATTATTATATAATATATATGAAATTATTATAATAAAGTAATATTATAGTAGTAGTAAAGAGCTTGAATTGAGCTAAAGGCTATATACCAGACTAAAAGCACTGGCTATATACTAAGTCACGTGTAATGACACCACGTAACTAGTGCCACATAATAGAAATATTTGGTATATAAATATAATAGATCGAGATCCGATTTATATATTTGGCTAAAAGCCTTTACTAAATTATATAATAAAAACCGGAGCCTTTATTATATAATATATCTTTTATTATAAATATAAGATCTAGAGTCTAGAAAATATAATTAGATTATTTCTATTTTAATAATTTAAAGCTAAAGAGAGAAAAAGATCTCGAAAAAGCCTCGGATCTAAATAATTATAAGCTATATATGGGTTTATATACTAGCTTAAGCTCGGGGTTATATATAACTATTAGGTAATTATAAATACTATATTTAGATACTAGATACCTTATTTAGATATTAGATATTTTACTAGTTCTAGTTTAATTTCTACTAGTATTATATATTATAATAACTATAATATTACTTTCTTTCTTAAAATAAGTTTATTTCTAAGCTTTAAAAATCTTTATTAAATTCTTAAATTATAAGTTATATATTAAAAGCCAGAGATCTTTTATATATAACTTAAAGAATTTCTATTTATATTATATAGTTCTAGTAATATATTATTTTTAGTATAGTCTAATTAATAAAAGAGATTCTGAAACGGTTCTAGCTATTTAAAGTTCCTATTATAAAAGCTCTAAAGAGCTAGAATACTATTATTTAATAAGAATATAGGATATTATTCCGGATCTGGATTCTATTCTTTTTACTAGATTTAATATTTTAGCTTTCTATAAAATAGCTTTATTACTAGTACTTCTTGAATTTTATACTTTATTTCTCTGTTTTATAGTTCTAGTAATAGAGGCTCCGAATTCGCTTATCCGGAAAGAGAATTATCTAGATTTTTATATAGCTTTTCTATATAAAATACCGGATATATTCTTATTAATTCTAGTAATTTAAGCTTAAAGAAATACTTTATTTATTCCAGAATTTCATATAATTCTTCTATTTAATAAACTAGCTTATAGCTCAAATAATTATTCTTTTAGTATTTAATAGTAATTTATACTTTATTTCCTATTTCGAAATCTATTAATTAGCGGTATTTATTAGCTTAAATAATATAATATTCTTATATTTATATTATATTCTCTTATATCTTTTACTATAATTTACTATAATTTATAGAGCTATATTACTAGGGCCTTTACCTTTTATTTATTTAATTCTTCTTTCGGGATATCTAATTATATTTGGGTTTTTTAATTAAATAATATTTGTAATTTATAGCCCTTTTTTATAAGAAATAAAAACTAGCTTATAGTCTTATAAACTAGAGCTATTTGCTAGTAATTAATTATTATTATTTATTTATTTCAATTATTCTAATAATAGTTTATATAGAGATATAACTATTAATTAAAATACTAGTTAATAATCTCTATCTAGCTATTAGTTTAGAAATAATTAGTAATTAATAACTTAAGCTTTATATTAATATATTTATAAAACTCACTCTAGAAATCTAATATAAATTAGTGCCCTTAATTAGATATTATAATTTCTAGAATACTAATTTAGTAAATTATATAAATAAGGAAAAGAAATATTAATTCTTTAGCTATAATTATATTTCGAACGGAAATTATAATAGGATATTTATTTAGGTAATTAATAAAGATTATTATTATATTATATTTATTTCTATTCTCTAGATATTTTTTAAAATCTACTAATATATATTACTAGAAATAGTTAGAAACTAGTAATAAATATATAATTATTAATAGATATAATAATTATTTCTATATTACTTAATATTTGTTTTCTAGCCTGGCTA